AGCTCTCTGCATCAGGTGGCTAGAGTACCGGAGCTACACAGTAACATTTACAGCGGCTCTATTCATAACATCCAAAACTAGAAACAACCCAGACGTCCTTTAATGGATGAATGGTTAAACAAATTGTGGTTCATCCATACCATGGAATACGACTCAGCAACAAAAAGGAACAAATTATTAACATATACAACAAAGTGAAGAAATATCCAAAGACTTAGGCTTAAGTGAAGAAGCCAATTCCCTATTAAATAATTCAATAGATGCAACATTCTTGAAATAACAAAATAACATAACTGAAAACCAGGGTGGTTCGCCAGGGATTAAGGAAGCTATAGGGGCACGAGAGAAGTGGGCTTGGCTTTAAAAGGAAACTTCCTTAGGAACGGAAACTTCCATACCTTGACTGTATCAGGATCAATATCCTGGTTGCAAGACTGAACTGCAGTGTCACCACTCGGGGAAACTGGGTAAGGGTACACAGGATGTCTCTGTGTGATTTCTTACAACTGCATGGAAATCTAAACTTACCTCAAAATAAAAAGTTTAACTTCAAAAAAGGCAAAATAAAGACATTTCAGACCAAGAATAAAAAAGCAAAACAAAAATCAGCAAAAATAGTTAAGAGAATTCCTCTAGGCATAAGAAAAATACCAGATGGTATCTGGATCTACACAGAGGAATTAAAAGCAGTAGAAATGATAAGAGTAAGAAATATAAAAGATTTGTGAAGAAACCTTTACAAACCACTTAAAATTTTCAAATTTTATTTAAAGCAAAATAACACAACGTATTATGTGGTTACAAAATAAGTGAAAATAAAATGCATGACAACAACAGCACAAATGCCTAGGGAGGTCACGAGAGCATCTTGTCATAAAGTCCTTACAACATATGGGGGACGGAAGAGTATTTTTTTCCCCAGCCTCCGGAATGGTATTTTAAAGGAAGCTACAGGAAGTTAAAGATGTATGTTAAACACTAAAAAGAGAAAACAAAGTTGAGAAAATATGCCAATAAAGTAGAGGAAATATCATATAATCACTCATTCCAAAAGAAGGCAGAAACAGATGATAAAGGGAACAAAGAATACAGGACAAACAAGACAAACAGCAAGATGGTAAATAAAAAACCCAATCATATCAATACTCTCATTAAATATAAATGATTTACACTCTAAAATAAAAGGTAGAGACTGTAAGACTGGATTAAAGAATAAAAACTAAAGGCTATGTATAAGAATTTTATTAAAAAAAAAAAAAAAGAATTTTATTCAATGTATTTTATTTCAATGTATCTCTCCCAAAATTTGATAGAACAAGTAGACAGAAAAGCAGTAAGAACATAAAAGACTATCTTAACATTATCAACTAACTAAACATACTCAGCATTTATAGAAACTCCAACCAATGTAGAATATACATCCTTATTAAGTACACATGGAATATTTAACAAACTAAACCACATTCTAGTGCATAAAACAAGTCTCAAGTTTCAAAGGATTCAAACAATAAAAGTATCTTCTCTGACCACAATGGAGTTAAATTAGTAATCAGTAGCAGGACAATTTCTGAAAAATCCCCAAACATATGGCAACTGAATAACATGCCTCTAAGCAATCACATGGGTAACACAGGTAACTATTAAAAAAAATACTAGAATTATGGAGCTAGCAAAATTGTAGGATATGAAATCAATAAACAAGAGTCAACTGCATTTCTACAGTCTAGCAATAAACAATCAAAACTTGAAGGTCAAAATACATATTACCATTTATAATAGCTTTCAAAAATATGAAATACTTAGCAATAAATCAGATTTTAAAATGTGCATATTATACTTGTATACTGAAAACTATGCAACAGTACTAAGAAAAACCAAAGAGAACCTAAATAAATGGAGACGTACATCTTGCCTGTGGGTCAGAAGGCAATACTGTTTAGATGTCATACATCTCAAACTGATTTACAGATTCAACACAATCCTAGGCAAACTCTCAGGAGGCTTTTTTGTAGAAATTGACAAACTGATTTCAAAGTCAATTTGGAAATGCAAAAGACCAAGAACAGCCAAAACAGCTTTGAAAAAGGAGAGCAAAGTTGGAAAAGCTACCTAGTTTCAAAACTTTTAAATACATAGTAACCAGACACTGCTGTTATCAGGCTGTGGTGCAACTAAGCCAGTGCCCTAGAGCTGTGTTCTGCAACAAGAAGCCACCTCAGAAGAAGCCCGAGCACCCCGAGAGAGAAGTTCCTGCCGGCTGCAAATAAAGCCGGTGCAGCAGTGAAGACCCAGTGCAGTCAAAAAGGCAAATAATAAAGAAAAGAAATAATTTTTTTAAAAGACATTATGTTATGGAGTCAAGACAGATAGTGGATCAATGTAACAAAAAGGTCAGAAACAGATCCATATGGATGCGATCGATTGGTTTTTGCAATGGTACAAAAACAGTTCAGTGGAGAAAGGGCTATCTTTTGAATAAACAGTGCTGGAACAATTGGATATTCATATTGAAAAACATGAACTCTACACCACAGACAAAAATTAACTCAAAATGGATCACTGACCTAAACATAAAAACTAAAAGTATAAGACTGCTTAAAAAAAATAGAGGAAATATTTGCGACCTCTGGTTAGGCAAAGATTTCTTAAATACAACACTGACAGCACAGCTGACAAAGAAAGAAAAATACTGACGTAAATAAAACATGCTCTCTGAAAGACAGCGTGAAGAGACTCTTTTCTCCAGTTTGAGAAATAAGGCTCGCAAATCATGTACTAGATAAAGGACTTCTATCCAGAATACATAAAAAAAGTCTCAAAACTCAACAAGAAGAGAATTACCCAATTTTAAATCAGGCCAAAGACAGGAGCAAGCATTTGGGCAAAGCAAATTCACAGCTGCTGAAGAACGATATGGAGGGATGTTCAACACCATTATTCACTACAGAAATGCAAATTCAAACCACGGTAAGATACTGTCACACTACACACCTGTTAAGAGTTGCTAAAATTAGAAAGACTGACCACACCAAGGATAAGGGAAGATGTGGAGCAAATGAAACTTTCATTCATTGCTGGTGGAAATATAAAATCTCATACTCCTCTTCCCAGTTTGGAAGTATCTTAAAGTCAAGCGTACCCATATTATAGAACCAAACCATTCCTCTCCTAGATGCTTACCCACAAGAAATGAACACATGTCCTTACAAAAACCTCACAGCAGCTTCACTTGTGACTGCCCCAAAAGGGAAATAACCCAAAGGTCCGTCAACAGGTGAATGGAGAAACAAACTGTGGTACATCCATCCATACAATGGAGTACTAGTCAGCAATAAAAAGTAACTGCTGATCCAGGCAGCAACACGGAATGAATGATACTGAAATAACTGCTGAGTGAAAAAGCCAGGCAATATAAATACTGTGTAATCCCCCATAGTTGACATTCTAGGAAACACAAACTCATCTGCAGTAAAACAGAAAGCCCATCAGTGGCTGCATGGTCTGGAAGGGATACGGGGCAGGAAGGGCTGGAAGGGCTGATTTCAAAGCCACACTGAGACTTTCCGGGGCGATGAAAGAGTTCATTGTGGTGGTCGTTTCATGGGTGCGCACAAATGTCAAGATGCATCGAACTGTGTATTTTAAGTATGTGCAGTTTACTGTTTATTGATAACGAGGGAAAACTACCAACGGCCTGTAGAAGACGGGCACCTGACTCTGGAACCCCAGGCAGCTGCACCTTTGTCTCCACCCCTCTCTCTCGATGCCCAGGTGCCAGGGCTGGACTCTCACACCCCAGTTTTATTAAGTGTAAAAATGATCAGAAAACTGTCCGTGTTAATATGTCAATTATTACATATTAACGTAATTACCAACTACGGACTTGGAAAAGGAAAAAATGAGGGCAAAGAGAATCTTCTTTCTGTAATCTGAACCCCTTGGCATAGCAAACACCTCTTGGTGGTTGACAGTCTCAGTGATTTTCCTTTGGTTACTTTAAATTTTTCTGTACTTTCCAAATTCTTTACACAGCCATAATTTTGCTCTTTGGGGGGAAAAGTTTTAAAAGAATGTGTCTAAACTCTCCATCAAGTAAAGGACTATTCAGGAATTTCCTGATGGTCCAGTGGTTAGGACTGAGCACTTTCACTCCCGAGAGCCCGGGTTCCATCCCTGGTGGGAGAATTAAGATCCCACAAGCCAACAACAACAAAAAAAGTAAAGAACTATTCAGAAAGAAATCAAGGGCTTTTTTTTTTTCCACCCTGATAATGAAGGACTAGCACCTGAACATCCACATACACATTCATGTAGATCAAAGAACAGGGAGTTTTCATTTATCAAAGGTGAAGGGCATTTATAATACTATATGTAGACATTCAAAACCTCAACAAAAAATAGATACGTTCTAAACTCTGAATTTCACTAGTTGACCACTGAGTTGGCTCTCCCCTAGTTAAAGTAAAACATGCTCTTTGAAAGACATAACATGTTTTTAAAGACATAACATGTTTTAACTAATTTCCTGCCCTCTAGGTTGGAAACTGAGCTCTCATACACCAAAGGGAAAGTCCTGCACAAATTTCCAGGGGTTAGGAGCTGTGACCAGAGGCTCCTCTTACGCCTAAAGTCTGTAAATGAATCAAGCCTTCGACACAGGATGGACGCCAGGAGAGGCAGGACTCAACCCTGCTTGTCCCAAGCTGTTGGCAGTAGATATTTATGGCACGATTTTTAGTAAGTGTAGAAAGTCAGCAGTGTATTCAGAAACACCAAATGCTGAAAAAAATGTTTCTTTTTAAATAATTTCACAGATTAAATTACATGCAAAATGTTTTTTATGCAACCTGAATGTAAACCTTTGAGTCTTCCTCCGTGGTTTCTAAAAGAAACCAACTTAGTGATGACCAAATTCTTGACTTAATTCTTCACTTTCATTTCAGAGAAAAAAGCAAAAGTAGGTTAGCATACCACAACACTACACGCGTCAGGACACTTACATGTCTTGGAGTGCTCATGTGATAGCATGTAGTTGGCGAGAGGTGGCGTGTAAGTTAAACACTGCAGTGCTGCGTTTGCAAAACAGGTATTGCCCAAATTCTGGAGCCCGGCTCCTACTCTATGAGTCTGTTGCCATTTAAGACAGATCTTCTCAGATGGGAAGAGAACTTTTTGTGGAGGAGCAATGCCATCACCTAGGGCTAGAAAAATAAACAGTTAAAACGAAAGCTTTGTACACTTCTGAAGCTAAATAAATAACAACACATCACACCTGAACTTGACCAAGATTCTTATGACCAGCTAACCAGAAACACAGGGGAGAAAGGGACTAAAAGAAAAGAGCCCAGAATGCGGGAAATTCTAAATGATTTGGTTTTTTTGACAAATAAATTTCAAGGACAAAAGGGTCTGTGTGGGAGAGGGGACAGTATTTATCAGATTTTAAAAAACTTAAAAGAGACAATCACCAAATGCAAAGAGTAGACCTTGTTTGGAAGTTGGTTTCAATGACCAACTGTTAAAAACCATTCTACGACGACCGGGGACATCTGAATATTGACTGGATTTTTAATAGGAAAACATTTAAATTTCAGAAAAGAATGATTTAGATAGACACATTAAACTATTTACAGATGAAATAGAAAGTCTGAGATTTGCTTTAAATGGCTGGGAAGCGAGGTGAGGAGTTAGTGGGTGGAGGTAGGAGTGGCCAGGAGCCCACAGACAAGGCTGACCGGAGGGCACCTGAGACCTGAGACTCTGCCACAGTCGCCCTCTTTCCCATCTACTTAGCTGACACCAGCCCCGCAGCACGCGCAGGAAGGTCGGCGCCCGTGGCCCCTGCGGCGGGTGCAGACAGCCCGGCCTGCGCCGCCCCCTCCGCCGTCCTCACCGGCTGTCGGGCGGTTTCGATTCTGAAGGGTGGCAGTGACGTCACCCCAGCTTTACCAGTAGGGAGATGGGATTTTAGGCACCATGATAACATACTCAGAAAGACACTATTCACGAAGAATTTATCTATTTTTAAGACTTAAATGGCTAATTGAAAACTATGCTAATAAAACTCAGGTGAAACTCAAAAACAACTTATTTAGGAGAGGCCAAAATCATCCGCAGCCAGAGTGTTTCTTCAGAAGTCTGCCAGTTCCTCAGTGCCACCAAAGACTAAGACACCTGCTAGATGGTTCTCGGCTTGCAACAGCAATATTGACCATTTCGGTAGGCAAAAAGGCAGGCTTCAGCTTCGTGAAGAAGGCAGAGCCAAATCAGGAACAGAGACGTGAGTCTTTAAAACCTGAGACAAGCACCCCAAAAAAGGGCCGGGGGTGACACCCACTCCACCTTGGGGCAGAGAGGAGCCCCGCAAGGCGAGAGGAGGCCGGGTCTGCGGGAAGGCGTGCTGGGGCAAAGTCCTTACTGTAAAGGTCTCCAAACCTCTCCGTAAAACTGTTCTATGAGACAAACTCCCCCAAACACCTTCAGCAAATCGCACCCCCACCCCACATCACAGCATCACATGTACTGCGAGGACTCAAACCATCTGAGGGCCAAGCCGTCCTACGTGAACAATGTCTTGAGTGGCAATCAATCTTTTCTCACAGTTTCAAAGCTTTCAAATCCCCGAGTTTTAGGAGCGCCAGCTAAAGTGTCCACGTCTTACTTATCTGGATGACTTTTAACACATGTAACCACATTTATATGGCTGGATACATAATGTAATATTTACGTGATCTGCTCTCTTTCGAAGAGCTTTAGACTACAGATGACTTTAACTGGGAAAAAAACAAACAAAAAATTGAAAACAAAGTTGAGCAGAGCTCATTTGTCAAAAGTCACCAGTTTTTAAATCTTTAGGAAGCAGACGATTACTCAGGGCGTGATAGTTAATGACGCTATTGAGACGCTCGTGCATCTTGGTTCTCACCAGAATAAAGTTTGTCCTTCAAAAACTAGGAGTTAAAGAAATTCACAGTAACTAAAAATAATCTAACCCTGTTATGAGACGTATGTTAATCATGAAGCAGAAGCAGAGGAAAATGAAGCCCGTCAAATAACATAACTCTGCTGGCCACTCAGGTGGCAATAATTTATCTTGCAAAATAAGCCTCTCTCTGAAACTACCAACTTATGGACAGCATTTATACAGGAGTTTCCTGTAGCGATTCCATCTTTTAAAAAGTAATACCTTGATCCTTTTGTGGTGATGGTTTTGATTTTTCAGGTACAGATGAACTTGAATAAACTACAGCACCAGGTACTGGTCCTAAAGAAAGCGTGTGATTTGAAACATCATTTAACGAAGACACAGCACCCCAGCTGGCAGAACCTGCATCCATGTCTCCAGGCGAGACGGCCTCAGAACTGCCAGGCTGGTTCTGATAGGTTGATGGATCTGAAGATTCAGAAGCTTTGTCAACTATGGTCATTGTTCAACTCTGTAAAAGACGAAAAGCATATGTTTGCTTCATAAGGTCAAGAAAAGTAATCTACTTATTCTACCATTAAATCTTTGAAAATAATTAAAAGCAGTTAGGCTAATTTTCCAATAAATCACTCCAATATAAAAGCAACAGTATTTTTTTTAGCTCTGTAGTAATTTTCTTGAGATATTTACCATTGTACTAATCTGAACATGCCAACAATTTTTCATCATAAAATCTTCAGTGAAGTATTTGATTAGATTGTGTCATTCTATTTCATGCCCTCTGAAAATCTAATATTTTGATTTACAATCAACTACCTCAATTTCCAATTCTCTACATTCATGAAGTATCTCTTTTTCTCTCTAGTACTTAAACCTGGAATGTGAAATGCGCTAATACCTTTGGCTCAATTTTCAATTCATATGTAATTCCCCAGGGAAAAGTCTCAACTACCTGAAAAGAAAACTGAGCTTTAAGCTTCAAGTTCAAAATGACATTGTTTGAACTATACTACTTTAGAAAAAAACTAGGAAGTCTCACTTTTGGAACGCATTTTCTGAAAAGGCTCATTCATTTGATATACATGACTTTTTAAAATGAAGCCTGTTAAGGCATTTCTGACATCTAACTGGAAAACAAACACATGTTATAAAAGTACTTCACTGTAATTTTCTCTCCGAACCCTTCTAAAATCTTGGGACCACCACTAATTGAGCACTTTCTACGTCCTAGGCGTTGTGTTAGTCACTAACCTAATATTCATAAGAACCTGTGAGAGACTGGACAGAAATCAACCGGGTCTACGAAATGGGGCAACCCTAACCCAAACTAGTCAGCGCTGGGAACAGGCGCCAGGCCCCATATTCCCGGCGGGGCTCCTTTGGGCTCCACCAAGGCCCAGGGCACAGGGCTCCAGGAACGCTCAAGCAGGCCACCGTCCCGCAGGTGCCCCCCAGGTGAGCCCCGCCCCTCACAGCTCCCCAACACCTGGACCCGCTCTGCCAGGCCGGGAAACCTCCCCTTCCTGGCACGCTCAGCCCTCTCCCCTATCCTACCTGCTCTCTCTGGGCTGGGCAAGCGCTGGTCTTCTTCCCCCAGGTCTCCCACCCTTCCACCCCCAGCCAGTGAACACTCCCCCGGCTCCCTTTAGGCCCTTGCCTGGACAGCCCCCTCTCCCAAGACAGGCTGAGAACCCCTCCTGGAAGCTCCCCAGCACCGAGGGCACCCTCTGGCTGGGGAGCTGTCCTGCCTGCCAGGCTCCTGTTTGTAGCCCTGACCTGGCATAGGGAAAACTCCCCACACGTGCTCAACAGATGAATGAGCTGTGAAGAGAGGATGGAGCCAGTGTCTGCTCTCAGCACCAGGCTGCAGGTGACCGCTTTGTATGAAGTATCTCATTTAATCATTAAGGACTCTGAAGTAGGATTAAAACCTGTTTCAAAAAATCCTCAGAACAGTGAAATAAATACCCATGTATATGACACCTTAACAAATGTTATGATGCACTATCTACTCACAGCAAGGGGATTTTTTAAGCCTTGATTTTGTTGTGATTTTACATGAAAGCAAGATTATCACCTCCCAAAAAGTACAACCTTAAAGAAAAAATTTTGGAATTTTTTGTAGAAAAAGAAAAGAAGATGTTAATTGGATCTTAACAAAAAGAAAAACTGAACTGAAGTGCTAAGACAATCTAAGTAAAATATAGTACAGGACCCTTACTCAGGAAGAAAGCCGGAGCCATATTATCCAAATAAAAATTACACTTTCCTCATTTGACACTCAAAAGAAACTACAAAACAACAAGAGAGGAAGGAGTAGAGGAGGAAGAAAAGGAAGAAGCAAATTAACCTAGCCTTATTTACAATAATGTTAAATAGCAAAAACCTTAATTTTCTGGGGTGAACATCCCTTTCAGGACAATCATTCACTAATGACCTAATAAAACTATTTTACTTGCTACAGTTGCCTTTTTTTGGGGGTGGGGACAACTCTTAAAAAAAAATTAAGTAAAACATACAACTCAGTCACTGACAACCAAATAGCATTATAACTTGGGAAAACCAAAACCGTCCATTCTCCTTCATTATGTGTATTCAGCCAAGGAATTCTTACCCTGAAACCATCAGGCATTAAACTAAACTCCATCTGCTACGGAGAAACCTTTCTGGAAGCCAAACTATGCTGTGTAGGATTCAGATGTTACGTGTTCTTTACTCTCAGTAAAGCTTTTAAACACTACTGTTATAAATCTCAGGACTTTTAAGCAACTACTTCAATGAACAGTTCAAACTTTTCTCAACATCTTCTGATGACAGATAAACAAAAAATTACAAAAGCACGTTTGAAAAAAACTGGGTACAAGAATCAAGGTTGGATGGTGTGTGGAGGAATGAGACAAAGTGACTTCACAAGTGTTTCCTTTAAGTGTAACTTGCTCTAAGCACAATGTTTTACTGGAAAGTCTTAAAATGCTGTCCCTTCTATGGTATTTCTTCTCCCTTGTGGTGACAAGAGGCTAGAATACATGTTTTTCATTTTTAGAAGAATAAACATCTCTCTAAACATTATGGCATTCCTCATACATTGTGGTAATAATATCAATACATGCAAAAAGAAACTGTTACATTCTGCTTTTTAATATATTAATAATGTAATCCACCTTCTGGCTGTATTTCCATTTTCAAACACATACGCTTTAAAAAGACACAACCTGGATTTTAATTACTTGTAGATAAACACATCGACTACCTTTAAACTTCTACAAACCAAACTCTGTAGACTTAATTCAATGACACAGAAAAGAAAGTGAAACTGGTTCTAAATACAAACAAGTGAGACAGATGATTCATTATCACCAATCCATTTTGAATGAATAAATACAGTCAAAAGAGAACGATGTTTCAAATATACAAGTTAAGATTTGAGACTCCACTAACACGTGGAAGAACCTAAAACAGTCAGGCTCACTTTGAAAAACAGGTGCTAACTAAGTAGTTTCTCAACCAGTTTTCCTGTTATTTGAGTGTTGTTTACTTTAAACAACCAACGTGCTTTTCCCATCAACAAGTCAGCCCTCCTTAAGGCCTCCCGGAACATAAAAGAGCTATTCACCAAAAGAGATCCCGATTGCATTCATCGTAAAGCGAGGTTAAAGTCCTAAGACCGTAAAAACTTCGGGTTCCGCCAAATCTTCTCAAACATCCGATCGCCTTCTCCCGCCATCCCCTCTCCAGGTAAGCTGGCTCTTCCTGCCCCGAAGATAAAAGACTAGGACCCCGGCACACGCGCTTTTGGGAAGTGCGGGGGGTGGGGACAGCGACGCCAGGCCGGCCCCCTCCTCTCCCGGCGAGTGGGTGCCAGCTCCGCCCGGCAGCCGGCGTGCGCGACTCGGGACGCCCAGCGGGGACCCGGCCAGGTGGCTGGCCCCGCGAGGGCGGAGCGGACCGGCGCTGGCGCGGCGGGCCGAACCGGTGGGAAAGTTTGTCTCTTTGGGGGGGTCGGGGAGGCAAGCCCGGGGCTCTGGGGGGCGCTTGGGGCGGGGGGCGGGAGGTGNGCCGGGCGGCCGCGGGAGGGGCCGTCGTCCAAAGCGCCGCGGGCGCGGGCTGGCGCGCGCGTCACTGGAGCGCCGGGGCGGCCGCGGGAGCGACGCGCTGATTGGCGGCGGCGCGGGCGCGCTGAGGTCCTTCCCCAGCGGCCGCGGGGCGCGAGAGGAGGCCCGAGAGTGCCCCCCGCCTCTGCCCGGCGTGCGCTCGGTCTGGCCCGCGCCGGGGGCACGCGACCACGCGGGTACACCTGGGTTCCCCCCCACCCTAAAACGGCAGGTCTCCAGGAGAGATTCTCCTCAGCCTAGCGACCCGGCATTTAAGGACGCCGGAGTCAGCGGGGGACCTTCGGACTTCGCCAGCCGTGTTCCTGCAAGCGGAGAATTTTCCACCCGGGCTCCAGATGAGGCAGACCCCCAACCACCACCCCGGCCCGGCCCTTCCCGCCATGGGATCATCTCAGATCCGAGCCGGGCGCCTTTGGGGGCAGGTAGACCGGCTCTTGTTCCCGAAGGGCAGATCCAGCCGCTTATTGGATGCCTCCACCGCGAGGCCGAGCAGCGAACAGAATTGACTGTGGCATCTCCCTTCCACCACCACCCGCCTGCTCCTCCCCGTGTGGTCCCCCTGCTTTGATGGGCGGACGCGGCCCTCTCCTGCACTAACCTGGGTGCTTCCTCTGTCTCTCCTTCTCCCGACCCTACTACATGAAGTCGCTCCCACCTGAACCTACCCAGGGGAGCTCTCGTCCCTTCCTAGCCTGGTCGCTCGCCTTCCTTCCACTCACTCTGCTGCCCTTTCAATCTTCACACTTGTGGCCAGGATCTTCTTTTTAAAAAAAGACAGGTCAGATGTCGCTCCCTTCCTCAGAGCCTTTAGCTACTTTCTTGACCCACAGAAACGTCTCTGCTCTTCCTGGCACGGAAGGCCTCCAGTTCCCTTTCCTCTTAGGGCCCAGCCGATACAGCCTACAAACATCCCACTCCATGCCTCTTCTTCCATTAGCCCCCCCCCCCCCCCCATCAGAATCTTACTGCTCCGTCTATATCTAAGTAGCTCTAATTTTACTGTTAAGAAAGAAGTCACTCAAGTGATCAGCTGTGCATTTGGATCAGAACACTGAAGTCTGAGGAAACAAGAAAGGAAAAGGTGAATTTCAAGCCTCCAAAATTAAGGACCCACTTTGGGGGTTAAAGATCTTTCTGGTGGCTCAGACCGTAAAGAATCCACCTGCAACGCGGGAGACCTGGATTCCATTTTTGGATCGGGAAGATCTGGAGAAGGAAATGGCAACCCATTCCAGTATTCTTGCCTGGAAAATCCCATGGATGGAGGAGCCTGGTGGGCTACAGTTCATGGGGTCGCAAAGAGTTGGACACGACTGAGCGACTTTACTTGGGGATTATTAACACCACAATTTACTTCCTGATGAAGAATGGTTATGAAATTTCACCTGCACGGTCCTGG